CATCCCTTCTAAGCCCAGCGACCACCCAAAAAGTTCTCTAGCGAAGCAACATCCAACCCACGACCCTAAGATAGATAGTGGGGGTGCTTCCCCGGCGAACCTACACCTGACACCCTAAGATAAATAGTGGGTTGTTCTTTCCCGTCGCCGGCGGCCTCACCGTCTCCTTCTTTATCTCCGACGCTTTCTTCTCCCTTCTCAAAATTGACCGACCCAGATAAAAAATGTCAGTAGACTAACATTTAGCTATTGTGAAAAACAAGAGAGGAAGTAAAAGCTTCAGGTTAGTGTCGCTGGCCACTTGCGGCGTTGGTTGACAGCTTTTTACATAACTGTGAACATAAAATACGTGACGCCACCCGCGCGCCATACCCACTTGTTTCCCGTCAACGTCCGAGAAAGTCTTCCATGAGTGTAACCCACAAGACCCACACGTTGGGGGGACACTCTAATCTGATGAGACCGCATAGCTGTGAGACATGAATCAGCCATGACTCCACTTCCGTAAAGCTATGTTTATGCTCTCGTTACGAAGGCGAACAGTAACAACAATAGCTACATCAAAAGACACAGCAACGTATGTAAACATGTATGTATTGACCGAGTCGTATATCACGGGCACGCCAGTGTAATACTGACATATTCGGGTAGCGACGGCTGCTGCGGAACAGCCAAGCAAAAACGAAATTATCAAATGGATTTCAGTCCGGGGTTCCTGACTTTGTTGCGTGAGGTTCAGCGCGCGTGGTGCGTCTCCTCCACGCACTCCCAGATCGAAAAATCCAAAAGAACCTGCATCCGTCCAGCAGATTAATCCAGGCGGAGTACTACTCCGTGGGCTCGACCAGTCACAGGAGAGATTGACTTGTAAATCACTCGAAGATGATGATCGAACCAACAAGCAAATTTATTAACGAAACCACCTAACCAGTTTGGCCACTACTCTCTCTCTCTCTCTCTCTCTCTCTCTCTCTTTCCCACCGTTGCCATTCCCACGCTAAGCATCCAGTACGTACGTCGTCCTCAACGCTTTCGGTCGCACCGTCACCTTCTTCTAGCTCTAGCTCTAGCTAAAGCTTCCTCCCCCCGGATGGTGCGCGAACCACATCATCCTCCACTACGTACACAACTTATATATCACCATCAACATCAACATCTGCAGTCTATCCCTCCATCTCCGTACCGCGAAGAACCCTTCTGCTTTTTCTTTACCAGAAGATAAATAATCTATCTCATCTTGGTCGATAAGTAATAAGTTACCAAACATGACAACAGCTTTTCATCAACCTTTGATGTACAATGGACGTGCGTGCACAATCGCGTTTGTTGATTTCTCGTCGTGTGAGAAGAATATGTTGTTTGGTGGAGAAAAGAAAAAATGGCGGCCCAAACGAACGAACACCTCGATAGCAAGTTCAAAGACCGGGGACAAGGCGCGTACGTAAGCTTTTCGTCCTGCTCTGCTCTGGGACGTGGACACGTATGGTGGGTTTCCGCTGGATGCCTCGCGGGAGTGCGTGGCAGGCCCCGCCGGTGACGGCGACAAGCACGAGCACGCGCACCGGAGAGACCGACCGAGAGCACGCGCGCGTCACCGGCCGTCGCCGCGCGGCTTCGGGGAGAGGATCCAGTGCTGGCCGTGGGGCCGGACGGTGAGCCCCTTGACCCTGGCGAACAGCGTCACGGCGCGCCGGACGCCGCGGTCGTCGGCGGCCGTGAAGTAGTCGTGGCCGAACATGACGCCGCCGGGGCGCAGCACGGCCCAGGCCAGGTTGATGTCGGCCCACGCCGAGTGGAAGTCGTGGCCCGCGTCCACCTCGATGAGGTCCGCGTACACGCCCCACCGGCACAGCGCCCCGAGCGTGGACGCCGTGGAGAAGGGCAGCGGCAGCACCGCGGCCGCGGCCTCGGGCCCCGCCGCCAGCACGTTGGCCATGAACTGCGGCAGCAGCAGCGCGTCGCCGTGCCGCTGCTGCGGGACGTCGCGGCGGAAGCGGCCGCGGAAGGCCGGCCAGCCGCGGAAGTCGTCGACGCAGAGAATGGCCGGGGACAGCGACAGGTTCCGGGCCACGGCCGCCATGTGCAGCGCCGAGGCGCCCAGGAAAGCGCCCAGCTCCACGATCACGTCGGGGCGCACCTCCTCGATGAGGTCCGCGAACACCGCCCCCGTCGACCCCCACCCGCGGGGCCGCGCCGCCGCCGGGTGCAGCAGCGCGGCCGTGTGCGCCGGCGGGAAGCTCGCGTACGGGCTCTCGCCGTCGAACAGCTTGTCAAGAAGCGTCTTCACCACGTCCACCGCCGGCACCGGCTCCCCGCACTTATCCCCGAACCGGAACAGGTCGTGCGGCGGCGACCGCGGGTAGGCCGCGCCCGTGCCCGTGCCGTTCGACGACGCCGTGACGCCGCTCGAGGATGCCGCGGTGAGGTGCGCGGCGTGCGGCCGTATGACCGTCTGCGACGGCTTGGGCGTGGACGGGCGGGTGGACGACGAGACGATGCCGAGCGAGTATCCGACGGAGAAGACAATCAGGAAGGCTGTGACCCGAGGAAGGTGCGGGCGGAGCCTCGCCGGCACACCGGCCGCCGCCGCCGGAAGCCCACGCGGCTTCATGATCACGCACCGGCACGCACGCGCACCTTCCTGCTGTAGGCTCGTATTCTTAACCGGGAAAATCTCAACTTTCTATTCCGTGGGAGATCAGGATCCTGGAGGTTGGTTCGGGACGTCGCATTTATAGATGGATAGATAGCGGGAGTCGAGGGGCCGTTAGCTTGACGCCTTGTGCTCCCCTTGTTTCGGGGGAAGAGAGATGAGATCAGATATGATATGCACGAACGAAACGAGAGATGGGGAGAAAGTTTTGATCTTTTGTGTGTGTTGGTGAGGGGTGACTGCTCTGCTCTGCTTTGACGGGTTGGTGAGGTGTGGGTGGTGAATCTGATCACGGTTAGTTTAGGAGCATCAGAAAAGCATCAGGTAGTGGAATTTCGTGCATGCGCGGGAGAATGCATGGCAGAGGCCTTTCTGTGGCAGGAAAAGAGAATGTCAGTGTGGATACTCCGTCACTCACTGACCCTCCCCTGGTCCCTGGAGAATCTGGTTCACCTCACTGGCCACGTCCTGCCTCAGTGAAGGTGCAACTAGCTCATCTGGATGTACTTCTTCATAACCTCACTGCCCAGTGAAGGTGCAACTTTTTATTTTTTTGCAGGAAAAACTTGCAAACTATTCATCAGAAGTGATAGAAAAAATACATTTAAATTCGTTGACCACCTAGCGATGACTATAATCACGGGAACACGAGCCGAAGACGCATCGCTGTTATCATCCCTCCCTCACCGGAGTTGAGCATACTTTGTTGTAGTAAACAATTGAGCAGTCGTCATGCTAAGACCCGGCAGGACTAGCACACCAAAATAGCAACCGTTGCTGATGAAGAGAAGCATAGATTGAAAGGATCCAACACGTAGACACACGAACACAGACTGGATCCATGAAGATCCGCCAAAGACCAATACCGACCAAATTCCATGAGTTCCGCCGGAGACACACATCCACAACCCCTTCGACGACGTTGGACGCATTGCGGGACGGGAGCCATGCGAGTAGGACCTTATTCCATCTTCTGGGAGCCACCAGCACATCACCTTCTTGAGATGGACACAAACCCTAATCAATCAAATAAAACACCTAAAATGGACCGGGAGCCCCCCCCTCCCCCAGCAAGAGTCGGGAACCATCACCCTCCATGGCACTAAGGCCACGGGAGATGAGGCAGATCGCCGACAACGCCGACAGAAGGTAGGAAGCCCTTCTCGGCTGGGAGTTGCCTTTCTTGGGGAGGGTGTACACAGATTAACCACGATACTATTGGTAAGGTGCAGCTTTGAGTCACCTATTTGTGGTGCCAGACCACAAGCCCTCTTGGGGTTAGTACTTTTGCGCGGTGTGGATTTGTGGTTGCGTTGCATCATGAATTCACATGTGACTGAGTGGCCCAGCCGGTTGCGAGCTTAGGTGTGCGCGGTTGCTGGTGAAAGCCATGCTTTGATTGTGGCCAAAGCCCGTAGATGGCGGCGTCTGCGGGTGTTGTTGCCTTATTGGAGACATGTGTGCAATGCTCTCTTTCGTGCCCGAGATTCTTCGGGGACGAAAGTGCTAGTTATCGACTAGAGGGGGGCTGAATAGGCGATTTTTATCAAAGTCTTCAAAACGTGGGAGTTTCGAAGACAAACAATAGAAATGACCTAATTGATATGCAGCGGAAGATAAACTACAACAAGCAAGCCATAGTCAAGTATGCAATAGCGTTAACGTACGAAGACTAATAGCAGCTAGGTAGTAGGATCGGGATGGAAGATAGTATGAAGCCAATCAACAATAGTAGTCAAGCAATGAAGTCAATCAGATAAGACAGATAAGCAACGACTTCACGAAGACAAACTCAAAGTAAAGGAGGGAAGAGATAGAACCAGTCACTTGTTGAAGACACAGGATTTGTTGGACCAGTTCCAGTTGCTGTGACAACTGTACGTCTGGTTAGGGAGGCTGAGATTCAACTCAGAAGACCGTGTCTTCACCTTATTCCCCTTGAGCTAAGGACACTTAGTCCTCGCCCAATCACTCTGGTAAGTCTTCAAGGTAGACTTCCAAACCTTCACAGACTTCGTTCACCCGGCAATCCACAATGACTCTTGGATGCTCAGAACGCGACGCCTGACCGGCTAGAGGATACACAGTCCTCAAGTGTAATAAGTCTTCAGGTCACACAGACAGAAAGACTTCAATGATGCCTAACACTCTTTGGCTCTGGGTGTTTGGGCTTTGTCCTCGCAAGGATTTCTCTCTCAAAGGCTTCGAGGTGGGTTGCTCTCAAAACGACAAAAGTCATAAACTAACTCTGAGCAGCCACCAATTTATGGTGTAGGGGGTGGGCTATTTATAGCCACAAGGCAACCCGACCTGATTTGTCCGAAATGACCCTGGGTCACTAAGGAACTGACACGTGTTCCAACGGTCAGATTTCAAACACACGCAGCAACTTTACTTGGGCTACAAGCAAAGCTGACTCATCCAGCTCTGGATAAGATTTGCTCTCATTGTCTTCGCTCGAAGACATAGGATTTGGGTTGAGCATCACTTCAGTCACTCTGACTTAGTTCACTTGGACCCCACTTAACAGTACGGTGGTTCCTATGACTCAGCAAAGAAGAAAAGGAAACAACGAAACCACACAGTCTTCGCGCTCCATAGTCTTCACGCAATGTCTTCTCATGTCATAGTCTTCAATATGAATATCTTCTCATACAACCATTGTCTTCAATGTCTTCATACATTTTTAGGGGTCATCTCCGGTAGGTAAACCAAATCAATGAGGGACACTACCTGCGTTATCCTGCAATTCTCACAAACGCATTAGTCCCTCAACCAACTTTGTCGTCAATACTCCAAAACCAACTAGGGGTGGCACTAGATGCACTTACAATCTCCCCCTTTTTGGTGATTGATGACAAACTGGTTGAAGTTTTCAACGGGGATAAAGTATGTGAAATTGTAAAGGATAGGAAATTGTCTTCATAAGTAGCAAGGGCTCCCCCTGAAGATGTGCATATAAGTAATTTTGCTTTTGGAATGCAAATGCACATGGCAGGTTGTACTTGTGGAGATCCACTTCAACTTATGAAGATAATTCATCATGCATGAAATGATATAGCAAATAGGATGACATGCATAATGAAAAATGGACGTCTGCAGGATGATCTAAGTGCGGAAGTTATCATCGCACATGCAGAATTTATCATCGCATCACAGTGAAGCAAATAAGTAGCAGACGACCATCAAGTTTAGGTGTTACAACTCAAACAACCAAATGTTTTAAAAATCAAGAGTTGTAAGCACGAGGCAAAATATAATGCAACCGCCCATATGAACCCCCTTGAAGACTGTCAACTCATAGGCTTCTCCCCCTTTTGTCAGTAAGGACCAAAAAGGTTTGAAGACATAGAGCATCTACTCGTCCTCATGAGTAGGTGAGGCAGCAGGGTTATCGTCGTTGGTTGGCGGTGCAGACGAACTTGGTGCAGTGTCGATGCGTGCAGTAGTAGGAGGTGGTGAAGTAGCATCATCTTCGTCATCGATCACTCTGGCATTGATAGTTGCCGTGGAGGAAGAATATTCAGAATCTTCAAGAGATGGAGTGAGACATAGGATAGCAGTCCGTGGAGGAGTGGAGTCAAACTGGAATCTTTCATTGAAGCCATCGTCTTGAAGATCTGCTTCAGCACTAAGCAGGGTCAAGCTCTTCCATGATCGCCGGCAAGTTTCATGAGCAACAAAGGCATTCTTGGTGGCAAGGTTACGAATGCGATTGGCATCCACCAAGAGGCTTTGCATCTGTCTTTTGAGCAAAAAGTGATGTTTATTCTGTTTCTGATGAAGGGCCACAAGAAGTTCTCGGTCATTGAGAACGCGAGAACGCTTCCGAGGCCTTTGGGCGATGGTGCTTTCAGTGGCTTCAGTAGGTGCTCGATGAGGCAGACGAGTATTTCCAGCCAATGGATAGATTCGTGTTGCTGCTTGAACACCTTCGATGGGTTGAGTGAAGCTTTGGTGCTCGGCATTCTGAAGACAAAGTGGCTTCTTGGCAGGGTCAGAGTATATGGCTTCAACTGACATGTCAACCTCTGGTAAAAAGATCAAATGATTGCGAGCAGATGGTTGATAGTTGACAGATGAGTGTCGCTTGATGAGGCGCATGACCCATGGAGCATAAAACTTCAGACCAAACAGATCAGATCCAGAAGCAGCAAGTTGCCTGATGAAGAAATCTTGCGCATTGAAGCTGATGCCATTGAGGATGTAAAAGACCAATGTCTTCATGGCTCCTTCAAATTTTGCAGCTGATGAATGTCCTTTGATAGGCCATAGATGAAGGAAATATTCCCTAGAGGCAATAATAAAGTTATTATTTATTTCCTTATAATCATGATAAATGTTTATTATTCATGCTAGAATTGTATTTACCGGAAACATAATACATGTGTGAATACATAGACAAACAGAGTGTCACTAGTATGCCTCTACTTGACTAGCTCGTTAATCAAAGATGGTTATGTTTCCTAACCATAAACAATGAGTTGTTATTTGATTAACGAGGTCACATCATTAGTAGAATGATCTGATTGACATGACCCATTCCATTAGCTTAGCACCCGATCGTTTAGTATGTTGCTATTGCTTTCTTCATGACTTATACATGTTCCTATGACTATGAGATTATGCAACTCCCGTTTACCGGAGGAACACTTTGGGTACTACCAAACGTCACAACGTAACTGGGTGATTATAAAGGAGTACTACAGGTGTCTCCAATGGTCGATGTTGGCTTGGCGTATTTCGAGATTAGGATTTGTCACTCCGATTGTCGGAGAGGTATCTCTGGGCCCTCTCGGTAATACACATCACATAAGCCTTGCAAGCATTACAACTAATATGTTAGTTGTGAGATGATGTATTACGGAACGAGTAAAGAGACTTGCCGGTAACGAGATTGAACTAGGTATTGGATACCGACGATCGAATCTCGGGCAAGTAACATACCGATGACAAAG